CTACAGATAGGTGTGCCTGCAATTTCAGGAAATAGTCCTGAAAACAGGATGCTCTCTAGGAGAGAGCCCTCAAAATTGAAGCGAGTTTCTGTATTGATAGTGCAAAACAATATGGACTGACTAGTAGCCCCAATTAATACATTTCTCAACTGTATGCTGTCTGAAACATGCAGGACTGTCACTAATTCTGTGGCTTTGGCAACAATGTCTGTCTCGTGCTTTGGTGGTGATTGGGAAGAGATCCCTTGATAGGCCAGTTGGATCAGATACCAAATTTGGGAGAGCGGTAGTGCAGTCCCTGACTGATGCAGTTGAAATCCTTCAATTCCATCACTGCTAGTCATAGTTGGATCCTCACTGACACATACCTGCAAAAGAAAGATTGGTTGCTCTGGTAACTGTGGTTCTTTAAGATGTTGTCTATGTGGCTCCTACAACTTGCCATTGATTCCTCCACTTTTTCTAGAGTCCTTGGCAACATGAGCATTGAATTGCAAGAGAACTGAGGGAGAAGTGTGGTTTGAAAGATGGACATTTTTATTTAAAAAACAAGTACATGTACCCCACTTGTATAGTGTCATGCATGTAAGACTATGGTGGACTTGTACCCTAAATAAAATCATCCTGAAGAACTGTAGTTGCTATAGGGTAAATAACCATTCTTTATTCTTGACCTCACTTCCATTTTTATTTTGTTGAAAGTCTGCCAGACTATATTAAACCCGTTCAAACTGCAAAAAGTCACAGACTGAAAAACAGCTTTGTAGCCATGTTTATTTTCTATTCTTGTGAGATTTGGTGTAGAAGTTCTTTTGACAGTCTTTAAAGATTTAAATTTAGACGTGGATTTGCAAGCCCGATGCATGGATTTAAGCTGCAACCTGTTAGTTTTTTCTACAGAGCTCTGTTCCTTTCTGAAAGTAAATAGTAAAAAATGCATTGCATGGCCGGCATTGATTGAAGTGCATTATCGTTCAGAAGTTTTCCATTTGTTGTGTTTGTGAATTTGTTTTATGTAGTGGGTGTCAAGCAGGTTTTGGCCTTCACAGCCATCCATCGATAGAACAAGTTCAGTTCAGACAATAACGGTGTGTATTTATCCTCCCCAGTTCATGTGCTGTGACCTGAAGAGCACATCTGAGGGAAAAGGTAGTTTGTTTCGCAAGTCAGTTTAATTATTGCTTGGCAAAAAAACCATCAATAAAGATCAGTGAGTACTTTTTGAAGAGTAGGTAATCCACATGGAATTGGAGCAAGATCAACTGATTGTCTGTATAAGGGGGAAGAAAAAAACTATGAGAAATAATTCCATTTATATCTCAGAATGTTTTTACTAAGTTAAAATGAAAAATGTTTCATGTTCTTTCATCAGCAGCAGCATCGCTATTCTGTAGCGACGTTTGTGATAGTGCAGTGTTTAAAGCTCTGAAGCCTTTTTGGCTGATCTGTTTTTTTTTTTTTCTCTGTGTGATTTACATGTAATTACAGTTGCAGTCTTCAGTTCAGTGATAAAGGGCATAACGTAAAATAAATAAAGAGCTTTCCTTGCATTTCCTTTAGTTTCTTTGTCACTTGTTCTTTCTTCCCCCTCTCCCCCATACGTTTTGTTCTTTCACTTGTTTTCCCTTCCTCCCTCCCCACCTCCACAACAAATGGAGCTTGTAGCTGGATATCAGTTATAAAAAGATAAAATAGTGGCCTTTGGATCGTTATATTGCTGATATCTAGGTGACTTCTGTCTAGGCATTATTCATCTCCATATTTCTCTAAGTACATCCCCAGTATTTAAGTAGAGCAGTCTCCCAACTTGTTCCAGTTCAGCAGCTCATTTAAAATATTTTTAATTTTAAATATATTTTTACTTCCTTGTAGAAACTAGACATTTTTCTTGGCAAACCACCATTGTCTGGGTCCACTTGAGTGCTTCTCTGTGTTTCTGCTGCTAAACATAGTAAAGCCATTAACAAATGTAAATAGGCAAATTGCATATGGACTGACAAGTGCTTGTAGACAGGTTTATAATGGATAGAATGTGTTTTGTGAAGAGTGGAATCCCTTTGTCTAAAATGATGAGAGCGTTAGTTTAAATGAAAATGAATTAAATAGTGGTTAATCATTATAGCTAGAAAGCTTGGCTGAACAGATGTGATTGCAGGAAGCAGGGAAGAGGCCTCAGGGGCATATCCCCATTTGTATAGTATACCAAGGGAAAGGAATAGTGTGGAAGAAAGGGGAAGGAGAAGAAGCAGTCTTACAGTAGGGTGGTCCAGCTGGCAGCCCACAGACTCCTACCTAGCTGTCACTGCCCTCCTGTTAGTTCCTATCATGGGAGCTGGGTTCTTTGGACTCCCCTACCCTCCTCTGATTTCTGCTTCCTGCCCCTGCTCCTGGAGGTGGGGTAAAACAGGAGGAGGGGGTCAGGGTGCCTGTGCTGTACACATGGCAGGGAGGCCAGGGTGTCCATCCTCCATATGTGCATACAGCAAAAGCAGGAGTCAGCTGCCTGCACTGCAGGTGGGCAGCAAACATGGCTGGGAGGGAAACTGTGCTGCCCATGCCACAAGCCCAGCTTGGGGGTAAGAAACAAGGGTGCTCATGCTGTCCACAGACCTGGGAGTGGGGGAGGTGCTGGGGTGACTCCTGGAGGGGGTGGTTTGTATGCCAAGTGGTCCTTGGAATGGCAGCTGACACTGTGTGGGGCCCCCAGCTACCCAGAGGTTGGACAGCCCTGGTTTATAGGGTGGCATGAATAAAAGAAGGCAGTTGCAGATGAGACTGTAAAAGGACCATCAGGACAGGTATTCAGAGAGGACTTTTAAAAGCACTGAAGTGAAAT